CTTCCATTGAACATTTAAAATGCAATCCTCAACATCAACCAAGTCATTTAGTTATATTTTCAAACCACTGACAGCTTGGCCTTGATCAAACAGATGTCTCAGCTGCAGTTATCAATGTTTCAGTATTAGCAATGAGTGGAAAGAGCACATGTGCAGAGGGTCAGCTCCCCCCAGCTCAATTAAGCATTTTAGCGTTGTTAAGCTAACTGTTTTGGTTTTACAGATTGGTTAGTTTCGGTTCCTCCTTACCACTCTCATCATTATGCCGCAGCGCAGCTCAGACAGACACACAAAGCTAGCTACTAGCTGTTAGTGGGAGACAGAATGTTTCCTCAGGAGTAAAAGAGACCAAAGCAAAGCTAGCAGAGTGTATAATGGACTCACATTCATCTGGTAGACACCAAGCAATGATAATGTTGTCGTGTAACTGCTGGATATGTAAATAAGCAAGAGTTTGTCAACATGTTAATGTTTACATGTCAATGCAATAGTGTCCCCCCTCGTTTTTCACTTGCCTTACATTTTCTTTCCATTACTTAAAGGGGACACATCATGCTATATTTGAACAATATATTGTAGGGCCATACCTATATAAAGTATATAAATATAGTTTTTTTTCAAAATACCAAACAGGTCCTGCATTTTAGCCATGCCTCATTTCGCTCTATTTGCTCTTTCCAGTGCTGTTTTTGCAGGGGGCTGATTCTGTGAGCTGCAGCTGACCACGCCCCCCTGCAGGAGAGGGGAGCGTGCTCTGAGATCTGCTGCTGGGCTGCAGCGGGGAGAAGAGGGGGACAAAAAGAGATCTCCGTCCTCCGTGTTTTATTCTTATAGAAGTAAGAAGAGAAGTAATGGGGCTGAAACCCTTTTTACACAGCGGTCCAGACATAGACATCAAACGGCGACACATATTCAGTGTGCAGTTACTTTGGCATTAGGGCAGGGATATCTAGATACTTCCCAAGGTTTGACATCATGAATTGTGCTACTTTTAAAGCAAGCAACGATGTTTTCAAATCTGTAATCAAAAAGCTCCTCAAAAACACTATCGAAGCAGTTCCTGCCGTTGCTACGTTAGTTCAAACAGTAACAACGGACTACTTTTCTTAGCGGATGCATGTCAATTTAAATCAATACATAAAACTATTTTTTAAATCAATAAAATCATTTTCTAAATCCATAAAAGCATTTCAATTAATATTGGGAGTCATGTCCTTACTTTGTCGAGAATGTGGCCATGTGTAATAAGTGGGATAATGTGCACATTGCATAATGTGCCTTCATGCCGATCTAGATCCCTCCGCTTGGCGTCGGGCTCCTGATCAGCCTGTCGGTGTACTTTTCCCCATAATGACCGCGTCGCTGCACATTATCCCTTACATATGATTATATAGAGTCATTATTCATTTGTTTTAAAGCAGGAGGCGCAAACACTTGCCTCGGGGAGGGAGAAAAAGAGCCACAGAGGAGAATAAACAGAAGGGCAACCATGGCAACCATGCAAGGGAAGTCTTCTTCGCTGCTTTTGTGGCAGACTACAGCGCCACTTACAGGCCTGGCATATGTACTACAGCGTCTCCAGCGCTTTCGAGCGGCAATGGCCGGCCGTGGCCCAACCTCTCATTCCCCTGATAGGTGGAGAATTGACCACTAAGCGGAGCACCCCTTTTGTGACGTAGTAAATAATTCAAATCTGGATCAGTCTGTATCAGATCCGTTACAGCCCCTTTTTTTAGAGATTTGGGTATTGAGGAAAAGAGAGAGGGTTGTGTTTTCTGACACTTGGTGACTTCCCTGACACACCGGGGACACATATTCATGTATAAAAGACGTACAAGAGTGCATTTTGCATGATCGGTCCCCTTTAACTAAGTCCATGATACGGACATTGTCCACTCTGAAATGTGACATTAAGCTCCACAGTTCTTTACCAGGCCCCCATTGTTTCCCCGAAAATGTTAGCTATGAATAATAATGTATCCAACTCAGCATTAGTGCCACTTCACTGCCTTTACATTCAGTTTGTCCACAACCTGCCTGGTAACAGTACATCTTCACTCAAGCATCAAATCACCACATAACTGTATTTTTCTGTGTCGTTCAGACTCATATCAGTCTGTCCTCAGATCTCTGTCTACCAATGGCTTCTTGTGTTACGGGGACATCTCCAGAGCCCAAAGGTGGATGTAGGAAACATCATTCTATGTGCAGGCTCCTCACTGGAAGCATGCTAGCTGTGTTCAGGACCTTCATTCTCATTTACAGCAGCTAAACAACAGCCTCTAAACCAAACCAAACTGCCAAATGCATTGCTTCTTTTTCGGGTTCTATAAAAGAAATCATAGAGCTGCAGTCTGATGACTGAAAGGTTAAAGTCTCAATACAATGCATTAAACATAAAGTGCATTAAACCACTAGCTCAGGCAAGTTCTCCAGGGACCCTGGAGGAGCCTCCCTCTGACTCTATGGACCTTTAGTGGCCCTCGAAGGGTGACCTCGA